TGTTTTTTTCATAGTAAATCAACCATGCTCAGTGCATTTATGTGAGATTAAGTCATCATTACATAAATTTCTTTATGGAATTGTCTTTATATAAGAGATTAAGTCATTTTTAATTTTCTCAGAGATTATTAATGAATTAAAATAAAATTGACTGTGCTGGAGAAATTAATTTGAATTAGCCTAAACAAGTTCATTATCCAATTAAAAGCATCTTTATTCAATTTTAAAAAGTAAGGAATGCCTATTGAGTATAGAGCCCTGAGCTAGGATATATGGCAAATACAATTGGGGAGAATAATGGCACCTAAATCACAGAATTGTTGGTCAAATGAGTTAATACATGCAAAGCATTCAAAAAAGCACAAAATAAATATTTAGATTCAATATGTCTCTATTGTTATGGATATAAAAATTACTTAGAGTCCCTGCCCACAAGTAACATCTAACTATGAAAAAGAATGCAATATGCCATAATGGAAGGAAAATGCTACGAAAGCATGGAGGAAGCTGTGGGTAATTGCAGTGAAGGGACTAGGATAAAGCTTCATGAAGGAGATGGCATTTGAACTTGGCCCTGAAGGATGGGCAGGATTTACATTTAAGGGAAGAAGAGAATTCCAAGCTAAGCATTTTTGAAAAAAGGCACAAGAATAAAGGTATGTGGTATGTTTGGAGCTGAGTGATTTTCCCTATAGATGAATGGAAGCAGGTAAAATGAAACCAGAAAAGAAAATTGGAGCTAGAGTAGTGATTTTCTTTAATTCCCTATTAAGGAGTTTGGATTTTACAAGAGGTGTTAGTTCATCATTGTTTTTTGTGGTTGAGTAGTACTCCGTGGTATACATATACCACATTTTGTTAATCCACTCATGTATTGATGGGCAGTTGGGTTGTTTCCACATCTTTGCAACTGTGCATTGTGCTTCTAGAAACATTCGAGTGCAAATGTCTTTATTATAGAATGATTTTTTTTTCCTTTGGGTACATACCCAGGAGTGGGATTGCTGGATCAAATGGTCATTCTACTTTGAGTTCTTTAAGGTATCTCCATATTACTTTTCATAGAGGCTGTACTAATTTGCAGTCCCACCAGCAGTGTGAGTGTGAGTGTTCTTGTCTTTCCGCATCCACACCAACATTTGTTGTTTTGGGAGTTTTTGATAAAAGCCATTCTCACTGGAGTTAAGTGATATATCTCATTGTGGTTTTGATTTGAATTTCCCTGATGATTAGAGATGTTGAGCATTTTTTCATATGTTTTTTGGCCATTATTCTGTCTTCTTTTGAAAAGTTTCTGTTCATGTCATTTGCCCACTTTTTAATGGGGTTATTTGATTTTTTCTTATTGATTTTCCTGAGTTCTATATAGATTCTCAGAAAAAAAAGGAAGTTTGGATTTTCTTTCTCGAGATAGTGTGGAGCCATTAGAGAATTCCTGTTAGTTCATTCTGTAATACTTTATCACCTGTGTTTTAGAAAATAATCCTAGCAGGAGTGTAAAGAAAAGACTGAAACAATCAGAAATTAGAGGACAACAGACTAGTTAGGGTAGGGTTGCTATATGTAGCAAAAAATAAAATAAGACAAAATAAGAAAAGAAAGGAAGAAAAAATATAGCCTCGTTAAATTTGAATTTCAGATAAACAACAAATATTTTCTTGTATAAACTTCACACAATGTATTTTATCTGGCAACCCTAAATTTGGAGACTATTGCACTAGTCCAGGCAACAGAAGTATCAAGGTATATTTGTAATGTAAGGAGAGGACAGAAATGGGACAACTGAAGAGATGGAACCAACTGAAGTTGGCACCCAGTTGACTGGGGGTTATGAGAACAATGTTGGAGAGGACACAGATTTCTCTCCTGGGTGGTTGAAAAAATGGTGCCATTTCCTAAAATAGGAAATATATATCTTTAAAAAAGAGTGAGTGATTTTAATGTTAGATATGTTAAGATCAAGATTTCTAGAATGCCATATGAAGGCTGGAATTCTATTCAGGGTTTGAATCAGATCTGAAAATGATCTGCATACTGGTGATAACTGGAGCCACTGGAGTTGTTGTGTTCTCCCAGGCAGAAGGTGGCATCAGACATGAGACATTCTTAGAGAGAACCCTTATCTAAGTGTAGGTAGAGGGGAAAAGAGTAGACAAAGGAGACTGAGAAAGGCATAAAGAGAGGTTGGAGGAAGATGTCACTGGGTGCTAAAGGAGGAAGGAAGAGAGTGGTTTAGGGTGGGATGACATTAGCAGTGTAGGGAATGGCACAGAGAGAGGGTCAACCAGGATAGGGGCAAAGAGGCCACCAGTGACTTTAGAAAGAGCATTCCCAATGGTGTGGTGCCTGGAAAGCCAAAGTACTTGGAGTTAAAATAATAATAATAATAATTTAAAAATGTGTGTCTGAAAGAGGACTGCTTCTTCAAGAATTTTATAGTAGAGAGGAGAAATGAAATGGGTCTGGATCTTGAGGATACAGCAGCAGTCAGAGAAGGTGTTTTTAGGGTAGGATAGGGTAGGATGGATAGGATAGGGTACCTAGGACAGGATGAGATGGATAGGGTACGATAGGGTGGATAGAATAGAATAGGATGGATAGGATAGGATAGGGTAAGATAGGACTGGACCTATAGAAAAGACTTTAAAACTTTGTTAGCTGATGGGGAAGAAAGCAACATGTCAAGAGATTTAAGATGAGACAGGTTATAAGTAGTCCCTCACTAAATATGGTGCCTTAGGAAAATCAGATTGATTGTAAACTAGACCAGATCACACTTGCTCCCTCTCAGGCTCTGTCTATATGTTCTGTCCTTGGCTCACATCAATCTGATGTGACTACATTTCTGGAAAACCTGCTCAACTTTCAAAGTTCAGTTCAAAGTCTCTTTCCTTTATTCATATATTCATTTATCCAATATACATTCATTGAGTACCAGCATCCGGCACTGTTCTTAGAGCCAGCGTGTCGTGAACAAGACAAAAATAACCTGACATCATTCATTCGTGCATTTCTTTATTATTCCTCCAACAGATATTTACTGGGCATCTGCTTTGTGCCCAGCTCTTTTAGCCCACACTGTGCTTTTTTCTCTGAATTTTTACTGCAATTATGGCAGCACAACAGTTTACTGCTAATTATCATTCTTTAATATATATTAGTCTTGCTTTCCTTACCAAATTATAAAATTTTTGAGGTCAGAGCATATTTCCCCTTCTAGCCCAATGCCCTGCAAGTAGTAAATCTTCAACAAAATCACTTTCCTGATACATATAAGTAGCTTAAAACCTACTTAAAACAATGTTTAAAGTATTTTTAAATTGACCATCCCCTAGTTTTTATTGAAATCCTTCTGTAGCTTAGCTGCTCTACACAATGCCCCTGAGTCATGACTTTCCACAAGGCATCAAAGGCTGTGAAGCCAAAGAAGAATCCATATCTTCCTGTAGGAGCTGCTGCCACTGAAACGTCACAGAACTGATAAATTGCCCCCAGAGGGACCTTTCTGATAAAATCTGTCATCCTTGTGAAGTCTTGGCTCCTTGAGGACTTTTTTCTTCTGCCATTCTCGGCTGGGTTCCCACGTGTGTCTCAGTTCTCTCGGAAGGGCAGACGCAGTTCATGAACTGTTCCCAAGAGAGCAAGAGAGGAGTTACAGGAAACAAATTAATGAAATTAGAGAGAGCTGATAGTTCAATTCCTATGTCATTAGGTGTGGTGCTCTAAAACAGCCTGCCTGTGATCTTCCACCTTTTTTGTTCTTTTTTGGTAAGTCTTTAATATGTGTTCAATGTGCAATAAAAAAGTTGCATTTTCAAAGAGGGAATTTAGTTTTCACGTGGATCTTTCCCCTACAGACCGTCATTTGGAATATATTTATGTAACACTGAAGTACGTAATATAATGCTAAAATGAATGATATAGATGTTAAAAACATAAGATTTTTCTCTACAGGTCGTTGCCCTTGAACAATAAATATCTATTAGGGTGAGATCTACATTGTAACCATATCTGGCTTCTCTATTCTAAGTTCAAATTGCTTAATCCAGGAAATATTTATTATATGCCAAATTGTTGCATTTAGGAAGATGAAATGGGAATGCCATGTAAATGAGACAGCTGGCCAATCAGAATTGGCCTCATAGATTACCTTAATGGGGTTACATATAGTCAACTATGTAGATGTCAGGTTTATAGATTCAGAAAAACTGTTTTCTTACTCACCCCAGGTCTGGGATCTTGGGGACTGGCTCATGCTCTAAGCTCAGAGGAGGCTTATGTACAAAGCAAAATTCTCATCAATAGGCTAAGAAAATTTTACTGCTAAGCATGAAGGAATAGTCAGTGTTTATGGATCAGAACATATATATCTACTGCCCAGTAATTTTAATGGCAGGGGTTTCAATTATTGTCACTATGGAATATCAGCAACAGCAATTGCCTATAGATAAAAATTAACATTGATGATGGTTGATTTAAGAACTGAAGGAATTTTTTAGGAAGATAATAATAAATTAAAAATGCTAATGTTATAAATTTGGGGACTTAGGGATTGAATATTTGCCATGAAATATATGCACATACCCATACTCCTCTGTCATGGGTGGTGCTGTTACTAAGGACAGCGGTGAGTAGAGAGAGGCTTCTATTAATAGTTATACCTGTTATCCTCTGAAACTCAAGTTACACAACTGGTAGAAACCAGCAATAGCAAGAATTATTGACAGAATGCAGTAGTGAAAAGAATAGAGTGTCAAAGGTTAAAAGATGTAGCATCTACTCCTGGCTCTTCCACCAGTTAATTAAATGATCTTTGGCTTCAGGTACCTGCTCTATTACTCAGTTTCATCATCAGGATGATCTTAATTACCTTTTAGTTCTAATGGTATAGTGTTTCATAAGACTAAAGTAGAGTGATAGGGAATGAACTACTCTATGTACCTTCCAGTAATCAAATGAGATCCTAAATATAAAAATGAGAAATGAACTACATTTAAAATACAAATATATGTGCTAAAATATTAAAGATATGCAATAGTTTGAATAACACTACTTCAAAAGTCTTTGATGCAGTAGGTCACTATACTTGCTTTAAAACTGTAATCAATAAGTTGTGAACTTTGGTCATAAAACCTTTAACTATGAGGAAGTAATAGTTTATTAAAAAGCAGAGCACATCTTTTTAACATGGGCTAAAACATGGATGTGCAGTTGCTGCTCGATGCAGACTGTTATTTGCATAATTTCATTAAGCAAGCAGTTACTTTGGCCTTCACAAATCTCAAGTCTGATCTTTAGCATGGCCTATCTGAGCTATATAAATTAATAATACTTACTTAGGTCTGGTTGCCTTTGTTTAGGGTTATTGTTGAGCAACATCTCATTACTATAATTATTTTTTATTCCAAAATTTAACAATGTATTTGATATGTTTGTGGATGCAAGTTGGTGCTAACAACTTAAAATTTTTGTTTTGTACAGGAGGAATTTGTGACCCTGGAAATTCTCATGAAAATGATATCATCCTGTATGCAAAGCTTGAAGGAAGGAAAGAGCACATTGCACTGGATACTCTTTCCTATTCCTCATATAAGGTACACATGCCAATCCCTGCACCAAATAGCCCACCTCAGACCTCCCTGGACAAGCCAGGGTCAAAACCACAAAGATCATGCCAGACACAGAGAGTAAATCTCTGTTCTGTCAGCCCAGGAAGTTGCCAGGTTTCTTAAAAAGTGACGTGGATATTTTAACATTCACTCGATTTTTTCTGATACAAATGAAAAATGAAGTTTTATCAGGAAGAATGTCTATCAGAGACAATAAGACAGAACCCAATACTCTGACTGACAGTGATTCTTGTCCCCAAGACAGTCCTAAAAGTAGCTGTAATTATGCAGCCTCACAGACTTGCTATTAGGCATAATGAGTGTTTATCCAACATTTTGAGCTTTCCTAGGTAGAGGACATTGTAAAAGTACAGATTATTATTACCTTTGCTTTTTTCTTTGCTAATGAAAGCTACTGGGGTTTACCTTTTTCCTTTCCCCTTTGGATGTGTGACAGGTATTGCCTCTGGTTATTTGCACACATCTTCAAAATTATGTGAGATGCTGTCATAAGGTATAGAATTGTTTTTTATAGTGGTAGATTTATTTGTGCTACAACCACACCCAAACACTCATTATTAGTTAGCCTTCTCTCCACATTGATGGCACCCTAGGTACTTTTAAGAGCTTAAGCACAGCCAACATCTAGCATCTCAGGGTTTAAGTTAGGCAGATGAGATAAAAATCAAGGTTAGAATGGAAAACAACCAGAATAAGTATCCAGCACATTCCACATGCAGGAGTAATCCAAGTTATACCCTTTGGGATTTCATAATGGACTACTTTTCCAGCCCTGGCAAGGTAGGATTACACCTGCTCTGGTCTTCTGCATGCCTCAGATCAAATCAGTTATGTAAATTATCATGCATTAATTCATTGGCTCCTGCTGTTTCTGTTTAGAGTCCTGTTTTCAGAACACTACTTTGGAAAACCATTAGTATTATACAAATCCACTTTAAAAGAGGGCTGATGGTAAAGTGTAAATGTCAAGTTGCCTTGTCTTTTGCAAAGCTACATAAAATGGATACATATGCTTTGAAAACTGAACCCTACCTCTCTGTACAGGAGGAATTCTGAGTCACTAAAATGAATGCTCCTTGAGGATAGTATCTTTGTCATGAAACAACAAATGGGAACACAAAGGACACTACTTGGTGCTTAATAAAAGGCAGTTATGTGCATAGTGATTACTAGGTACAGTCTAGAAGAATTTACGCGGACTAACATAGAAAGGATGATGAGTGATTTTGGTTTCCTTTGTTTGAAAGGTTCCATCTTTGGTTTCTGTGGTCATCAATCCTGAACTTCAGACTCCTGCTACCAAATTTTGCCTCAGGCAAAAGAACCATCAGGGACATAATAGGAATGTCTGGGCTGTAGACTTTTTCCACGTCTTGCCTGTTCTCCCTTCTACAATGTCTCACATGATACAGTTTTCCATTAATCTGGGATGTGGAACGCATCAACCTGGGAACAGGTAAGAAGCCCTATTTTGTGAGTATACTCAACTGATTAAAAGAGAGCTCATGGACTTGTCTATTAAGTTAGAGGCAGTTCCTCAGTAGGGTTTTAGCTGGTTTTTAAATCAAATATTCATTAATGAAATACACACTTTTCCCAAAAGTTCTTTGCTTACTATGTGGGCTATGACTGGATAGATTGTAAGTGGGAATGCCTTCATTCTAAGAGCTTGAGCTGAGGTAGCAGAGGTGTTTTCACGTGCTGTGGCAGCCATCCATTACAACAGATTGCAGAGGCAGAAAAAAAAAGCGAAATAACGGAAAAAAAGCTCGACCTCATGTTGGCTAGTGACCCCCTAATAATAAGCACGGAAATCAATTAGCACTTCAAGAGCTATGCCTTCTCAGTTTCACTTGGTTTCACTTGCCGAAGTGTTGCTCGCATCCTTTCAAAGAATTCTGTCGTCTCCCTTTCACAGGATGAAGTGACGGTGTGAGACATGGTAATTGCCTTTCCAGCTATCGAACTCCAGAGCACAGCTCAAGTCACCATTTGTTGTCTTTAAAACATTGTTTTTATAGCAGTAATTTAACTGATTGCCCTTTGAAAGCTGGCCAGACTTCAGTGAAGGATAAAACAATCATTTAGGAAACAGCATCTTAACAAAATTTTACGTTGGTTCTACAGATTTAATGTGCTTAGCCAGAGATGACAACTTCATTTTATTTGTTGTCTTTGCCCCTTTTTGTTGTGCTTGTTCTGGTGTCATTAGTGTCAGCTTGGAGTTTTCTACCAACCATGGGCGCTCCTGGTCCCTCCTCCACACGGAATGCTTACCTGAGATCTGTGCGGGCCCCCACCTCCCCCACAGCACTATCTACTCGTCTGAGAACTACAGCGGGTGAGTAAATTCTCTCTGAGATACTGAAAGACTTGAATCCCTGTTGCAGAATGACAATCAGTGAGTAATCCTGAGGCTAGCACTCTTGGCATAATAGGTAAGGAACCTGACTTTTCTTTAAAAGTAATCTTATAAAAAAAAATAGACAATGCCTTTGGTAAGTCTGATGCAAGATTACAATTTGTAAGATCACTCATTCTATGTGTATTTCACTTATATTCGGGATTACAGGAACTTAAATTCTATGTGGTGGTCCTGTGGTTATTGCCAAAAGACTTATTGCCAAAATACTCATTTTTAGGAAGATACAATATAGAGAAACAGAGGAAAGTTGAGTTTTGGAGTTGGAGCTGGATTCAAATCCTGCTACTGTCTGTGTCATGATATATACCCTCTCTAACTTTTGACTTCTTTACATATAATTAAGAAGAATAATACACTCCTTTGGGGGCTACTATGAGAATTAAAGAGACTATGTAAAATACTTGCCACTTTACAGAATAAGTGAATAGTAAAAATATTTCCACGGATGGCAAAATTAAGTTGGGAATTATTTTCTTTCTTAGGCCCTCTTTAAATGTTCATAGGGCTAGGGGATAGCAAAAAATAAAAAGTAATTGATGCTAACTAGCATAGATGCCTACCCTAGGATAATATATAAGGTCTGAGTATTGATAGAAAAAAATTTCTTGTGGGGGGTATGTGTGTATATATGGAATACTAGTCAGCCATAAAAAAGATCGAAAATCATGTCTTTTGCAGCAACATGGATGGAACTGGAGGCCGTTATTTTAAGTGAAATAATTCAGAAACAGGAAATCAAATATTGTGCGTTCTTACTTATAAGTGGGAGCTAAATAACGAATCCACTTAGTGGAATAATAAACATTGGAGACTTGGAAGTGGGAGGGTGGGAGGAGTGGGATGAAAAATTACTAATCGAGTGAGGGTTGCACAAAAGCCCAGACTTCACCACAACACAATATATTCATGTAACAAATCTGCATATGCACCCCATAAATCTATATAAATAATAAATAACTTCATAAGAAAGCAAAAGATAAAATGAAAATCAAATTTTTTTAATTTTCAAAAAGAACGTCTTACAACAAAATAATTATCGCTTTCTATTAAGAACAAATCCACTACTTTAGCATGATACGAATTTTACAAGTTATATGTCTGCTTTACAACTATAAACAAACTTCACAGGTTTTAGAGAGGTTATTGATATGCTCTAGTGCTTTTCCAAGCACACAGAAACTAGAACATCAAAAGCATGTAAAATAGATTGAAAATATGTGGACATTGTTGTGAAGTTGGTTTTGTGCTAAATTTCTTGCAGGTGGAACCGAATAACGATTCCCCTTCCTAACGCAGCACTAACCCGGAACACCAGGATTCGCTGGAGACAAACAGGACCAATCCTTGGAAACATGTGGGCAATTGATAATGGTTAGTGTTTATGCCTGTCATAATCACATGCCATTGATGTAGAGTCTTCCTGTGCTTTTGTTCGTCAGCACAGACTTAATCACATTTCTAAGTCATGGTCTTGTGATTCATTAAACGCCCTTTCTTCCTTTTCTCCTTTGCATTCTGTTAGAAGCCCAGGGATGAGCAATCAGAAAAAAAAAAAAAAAAAAAAGCCAGTGTAGTCAGCAATATTAGATGCTAGACTGTTTCAACATACATAATTTTAAAATGCATAAAACCCTGAAACTCAAATTCACAGTTGATGATAAGGGATATCCTGACATTTTCTTTGATTTTTTTATACAAAATTAACATAAATACTTACCATACTGCATATATTAAAATAAGATCCATTCTTCTCCTAGTAACTACCACAACATCTGGAATGCTTATCTTTTAGATGCAGACACCACACAGAAGGAAACATCATCTCTAAAATACTAGTGAAACTTCTACCTCCTTTACAAAAAAGAGTATAAAAGGAAAATTTAGATATAGATAAAAAGTCTTTTATCTTTAATTTTTAAGTGAATTGAAATTTTTGCACTAATTTAAAGCCATTGTCACTCATTACAATGAGTGAAGATATTTTAAGCTATTGGGCTGCATGGTTGTAAATTTCTTATATTTGTTATTAACAGCCAACTCCATTTTTTTTGGTTTCTTAATTTTAATTACAGGTAGATCCATAGGTTTCCTATTTTCAGGGAAAGTATAGGCCACAGGAAAGTATATAAATTTGACTGAAGGCTTGTACTGCAAGGAAGTGGAAAGGGAGGACGAGAGAGGAGAAGGGGCAAAATGCCAATAATGAAGTAGATTTAGCATAGCCACTGATTTGTGGTCAGTTTGTAAAATGGGAAAGATCTACACCATTGTTTAATGCTGATTTTCTATGTCTTAACCATCTTTTTATTATTTTTGAATAATTTAGACATTGAAACACAGCTAATTATATTCTTGAAATTTGAGAATAACTTTAGGCAGGATAATTTGTCAGCGAACCAATATGAATTCTTTAAGCAATCTGTATTCAGAAAAGACCAATAAAAGGCCCACTTTCAAAAACCTCATGAGTTATATGTACAAAAACATAGCGCATTTGCAAAAACATCTAAAGATGAGGTGTTAAAATGGAGTTTCTCCATTGATAGAACATTGTGCATAACATTTTAATTACTGCACCTGTTAGCTCTAGACAGTGTGTACATGCCTCTGGATAATGGGATATGAATGACTTTTGACTTTTTCTTGCTGTCATACTTTTTAAGGATCATATAATAGGCCTTTATTTACTTAAATAATCATAAAAGTAGTTTAGAAATCAATAATGAAATAAAGTATATGAGCACTCATTGCACTCTTAATTTTAGCATATAAGCCTATGAAAAGAATATCTCAATTTCCTAAAGATGGTTATTACAACACAATTTTAGTTCAGGAAGTGTTTACTACACATGCTCTTAGTTCCCACAATCATGCTTTCAGTAGAACGGTAAGAGGTAAAGACATACGGAATGCACATGGTTGGCAGTGTAAGTCCAGTGCAAAACCTGGGGCAGAATCTCTTCCATTTTATCATTCTGTGTGAGGCTTCCACAAAAACAGGACCCACTTTTTGGCTTCTTTACAAGGGAAAAAAGAAGACACACACTCATTCCTTCCCAAGAGAAATATGTGCTAACTTGCCCCAAAACACCCCAGAACTCTCTCCCATTTCACTGTGGAATTCCAGAATTGTGTCAAGGGGGGAAAAATAACAGAGAAAAAAAAAAAAAAAGGTCTATGTCATAATTCTGTGAGGGATGCTCCTCCTTCATGGCAGAGTCAGTGTCTGCTAGAGTGTAGAGAAGATACTTTGGAAATTACCCTGAAAATCTTAGCAAAATGGAAAATCTAGAGCAAAGTATGTTTGCTGTCATTTTTTTTATTTTTCTAACTTGATTACATTACTGATAATAATGAAGAAGGCTCATCTGTCCTTTCCACGCCCTTAGGAAAAAGAAGACTGTAAACTTACTGATAGTATGAGTCCTAATGACTCCATCGTTAGCAGGGAGGGATGACAACAAAATTTGTAATTGCAGTTTTTTTCATTGATTTGGAATGTCTTAATGTTGAATTGTTTTATGTCAGAGGCTTTTTGAACTATGACACTGGTATGTGATCGAGCAGCCTCCAGAATGACACTGCAGAAGGCAGTGGACCACTTACAGGACCTGGAGCAGATCCTCCTGCAGCCATAGAGTCAAATGTGCAAACAATCCCGATGCTTTTCCAGACTGAAAAAGAATGAAGCCAGCCCTTTCTTGTTCCTCAGCATTCGGTGCACAGTGGAGCCTACCAAAGCAATAGGACAGGAGGGTGGTGAGGAATATTTGACCATGGTATGGTGGTGACGATTATAACCATAGAGTGCCAGGCACCATGCTAAGCATGACACGTTTCAATTATTCTTCCCTCCAAGGAATATTATTGTTCCACTTTAAAGAATAGGAACGCTGAGGCTTAGACAGGATAAATCACTTATCTGAAGTTTCCTAGGTGAAACCAGAATATTTGAATCTAGGATTATCTGACACCTAAAACCAATACCTGTAACTACTCAGCCTGCTATGTAATGTCTTCCCAAACCAGCGGTTTTCTTTACTAAGAGTTTTTTCCTCGACCTGTTTTGTATTGCATTTGAATTACTACACTGTTAATTGGCTCCAGGGATTAAGTGCTTGTAGGAGTATAGGCCACAGGAAAGTTTATTTTAAAATAAAATCATTTAAATAGTTTGACATGATTACAAGACAGAGAAAAAAATGATAATGGATTGTAAATTTGTTTATGCCTAAAATTGAATACATGAGGTTCTTACTAATCATTGCATCTTGAACTTGTCATTGGTTTTGTACCACTTTTACACTATTTGGCATGTTATTAATTATGTTTGATATGTTATTAATTATTATTAATTATGCTGATTATCAAAAGACATAATATCTTTAAATGTATTTGGAGTCTGAGTATCTTAGAACCTACCATTCAACAATTATGAGCCTTTTTCTCAGCATTCCAAAGATTAAAATTTAGGTTTGTAACATCACATTATCAATCAAGCCCAGCATTGAAGGGGAAAAAAATCTACACGATGAAGAAGACTTTATGCTCAACAAGAGATTCTTGACTCCTCATTTCCAGGAAGGGTAGATTAGAAATATTTAGAAATAATGGAACACAATTATTTGCAGTGTTGTAGGTTTTCCCCACATAGGAATGAAATTTATAGTTATGACCTCCCCACTTTGTGATATATCAAATTAATCCTTTGTAAACTCTTTACTTCTACCTAAAGCATATAAACTTTGTAAAACACTCAAGGCAGCAGCACTAACATTTTGTCTAAAATTGTCTTAGCAGAAGAGACTCTATTAAGGACTCCAAATCATATGGTCCTACCTTCTTTGACATGAAATATTAAAATCTTGAAAGGGTTATCTGCATAAATTAAAACAGTCCCAGCAGATTTGTAACTAAACACTTACCTTATATGACCCTGGATTCCTGCACGCAACACACATACAATGGGCCATATGTCATGGGTATTGCTTCCCAAAATTCTACTGGTGATGTTCTTGGTTTCTGAATTATGTTACCATCTTTCACATGATCTCTTTTTCCCTGCAGTTTACATTGGCCCCTCATGTCTCAAATTCTGTTCTGGCAGAGGACAGTGCACTCGACATGGTTGCAAGTAAGCATTTTAAGATAATATTTACGCTTCTCCTTTCTGAGGTATACTTTATATATTAAAGCCACAAGGCTTTTGTTTAAATATACTTTTTAAGGATTTGAGGTCTTTTTAAGAAAAAAAAATTGGATACTCCTAATGCAATTCAAGTGTAATTTGAATGTATTTTGTAAGTGAAAGTTAATTGATAAATTTTATGTTAGGCTAAATTGTGAATAAAATTAGCATTCTTCATGTAATTTGTGAACAAATTTGAATTCCTCATAGCTTGATGGCTGCCCTTTCTGTGTGTAGTTACATTCCTTTCCGTAATCTTGTTCTAGTGTCCCTGAGTCACATTTTCATTCCTGGCATGCTTTGTAAATGATGATAAAAATCAGTAATGACCCATAGACCCAATGCTAAAGTAAACTAGACTGGGCCAAATTTAGCAGATTTGATCAGAAAGTTTATCATCTTTAAATATAACTTCACAATCTTGTTTACTTCTGAAAATCATTTGGGTCTTCAAAAGGATTATAAAGTATTTTACAGAACAGTGATGTTGAATATGAAATCTGAAATTATACATTAATAGTGTAATATCTAATCACCACTGGTGAATTATTTTATGTTTTATGCCAAAAATGGATATTCGCATTTATTATGTCATTCTCATATTAATATTTAATTATAAAATATCTTGGGATTTTCTGAAACCGTGGGCAGTCTTTGTTATACAGATGTGTTAGTCCGATTTGCACTGCTATAAAGGAATACCTGAGACTGGGTAATTTATAAAGAAAAGAGGTTTATTGGCTCGTGGTTCCGCAGACTGTACAAGGAGTGTGACACCAGCGTCTGCTTCTGGTGAGGGCCTCAGGGAGCTGCCAATAAAAGCAGGTGAAGGGGAGCAGGTGTGTCACATGGAGAGAGGGGGAGTAAGAGAGGGAGGATGAGGTGCCAGGCTCTTTTAAACAACCAGCTCTCACATGAACTAACAAAGTGAGAACTCACTCATTATCACCGGGAGGGCACCAAGCCATTCATGAGAGATCCACCCCTGTGACCCAAACACCTCTCACCTCCCACATTCAACATCGGGGATCACATTTCAACATGAGATTTGGAGGGACCAAACATCCAAACCATGTCAACTGATAAGTTTTCAGTAGCAGATCATCTAGTCAATCTCTTCCTGTCCTCCCAACAAAAAGAGTAATTAATTTGCTAATGAATGAATGGAGAACTCATAGAAGGTCTTTGAACCTGATCACTTAGAAATTACATGCATGAGGCAAAGATGTGTCGGTACTGAAATTAGAGTGGCAAGTTAACTTTTTAACTATATTTCAATGAATTTCATTAACAAGGAAAGAAATCTGCACAATGAAAGTGTTTTATAAAGTACATGAAAAAATGAAAAGTGTCTATGTATATTTCAAAGTTGAATATGTATCTCTGTGCTTTTTAATAAAACCACCAACTCCTGCCCCAAAACACTTACTCATTAGATCTATGAAACATTGGCTGATGTTTTCCTCAAGTTGTTATCTTCATCCATTATCCATAACCAGGCCATTCTCTTGTTTGGTGTGTTTCAAATAAAATTAACATGAGGAGGCCAGGCATTTTTACAGTTCCTGAAGTTGTCCTGAAAATTTTGAAAACAAATTATCTAAAACGACAACTTCTTTTATTAAAGAAAATAGAAGGTGGTATTTCTGAAAGACCTATCTATAATTATAATAGTTATACTTCATTTCATGTGTACAGTATTGTTACTGAACCCCAAAAGGGGTCCAGCCTAGGTCCTATCACTCACCACACAAAGAGCCAACTATTGAGACGACAAGGATTGCCAAGGAAGAAAGGAATTTTAATGTGAAAGACGTCTGTCAGGAGAAATAGTCTCAAACCCGTCAAGCCAAAAGCAAGGGCTTTTATAGTGGGTTGTGGAATGCAAGCCAGGCTGCATGAGGTTTGAAGTCATAGGGTCAGGTGGTCTGATTCAAGAATCAGCTTGGCGATGGATGGTGAGTCCTGTGGGGAGGCTAGTTAAGTTTGGTTGTTAGGCTTGACTGGTAAAGTCTGAGGGAACAAAAGATAACTTAGGGGATCATTTTGCAAGGCTGATTACAGTATTCCTCTTAGCAGTAAGTGGGTTTTTTTGTAAGGCAACCATCTGTGTTACCTACGCTGGGTGCAAACAGAAATCGAAATGGTAGTTTTATGCTTTTGGACATTGTTCTCTTTTGACACCATAGATTATCCTGAATAATCATAGCCTTTTCCTCTTCCTGAGCTTTTACAGACTATTTCCCCCAGTTTGAAACGTTAGGGTTTTTTCCCTGTTTTTGACAATGTTTTATGTAATGCTCATTGGATTTGTTCATATACAGCTGGGCTAAAAGTTTGACTACTACTTCCTTTTCCAGCAATATGTACCATGTTGAGTTTGAGCATAATTGCCTGGAAAAGAAATTTATATTCAATACCACTTACTTTAAGCAGATCCTTGAATTTGGGACCTCTGCAGCTCTGTGTTTTTCTCTCCACTTGGCTCCCCTCATTACTACCACTATTTGCTACCAGAATCACATCCTCTCCTGCTCCCTGACACTTTCTGGCCTGTGTACAGTCCCAGGCTGGGTCTCTAAACTGATAAGCCCAACCCTGTTAGAGCTGCTAAGGAGGAGAGAGTGCATTAGAATGCTTCCTTCACAAGTGTCTTCCATGTATGTGAACAATGGGATCTGTTTCCCTGAGATGCAGGGCAACTGTAATGCTATATTTAAGGGTAGGTAGATGAACCAGTAAGGGACATATTTGGAGTCAAGAGAGCCTCATGTCATTCCTGAAATCACCAGTGTGTGCTACCCTACTGTTTTGCTGGAAAACAATGGCTACAGGGTTTTTTGTTGTTGTTATTGTTTCTTGTTTTTAAACATGAGTAAACTTCTTACTAGCATTCTATCCCCATTGAATAAACTTTGATCAAAAATAGACTTTCAAAACCACTAAATGGAAACTGACTCCAGTGTGAATCATCTCTATCTAAATGACCACAAATTTCTCCCAATCACTAGAAATCCCAATTTCTCCCAATGCATCCTAATAAGATGCATTTAATATGCATAAAAATGCATTTGCCCTGATATGCACTTGACATAGATAGTCTTGTTGGAGAACACTAGTTCCAATTTGTGGCCATAGTAAACCACATTCAGTTTCCTGACTTTAAAATATGTTCAATTTAGATGATCTTTTTATCCTTTTTGGAAACTACTTGGCTATTCAGTCTAAGTCCATGGGACAACATGTGAAAGAAGGTAACTGTTTGAGGCTCATTTACATATTCAGTAAATATTGGTTTTCTTTCCCTTCCCCTTCCCTGATGGTGTTTAAGATGCCAAGACAACCCTCAAACTTCACACTACAGTAGTTCTTAGCATTTCAGGGTGCAACTTCCTTGATAATAGGATAAAAACTGTGGACCTTCTCCTCCGTAAACTCCAGTATGTACAAAATTTGGCATTTGATTTCAGCATGTTCATACATTCCTTGGACCTTCCAAAAGGCTAGCATAGACCCAGGTTTCAGTAATACTGCTAAAGAAGTATCCTCTGAGTCGTGCCATAACTTCGCTTCATTGGTACACTTGCTTTATAAAAGGCTTGCTTTAGGCTTTGGCAAGTTTTGAATGTTTTTATGTGAGAATCCCTCACCCAATAAGACACCAATTTTATTTTATAATGGGCAACGTTGTAAATGTAATGAGAAAGAAATGGTGCAGTCACAACAAAGAATTTGAAACTGATTCCTGTTGGGTAGACACCTTAACATGCAAGAAGTTTCAAGTATTGATTCTTCGGTGATGAAAATGCATTTTCTCACTGACAGAGGACTCAGAGAGCTCCATACATATTCTAGTCAGCTAACATAAATATAGCACATTCTCACATGGGAGCAAGCAGGTTGTTGCGGGGGGTAGGGGGTAGGTTTGTTTTTCTTGAAGCACTACTAATTTGGGAGTCCACTGAGAGGCAACACAGTTCTGCTAAGGACTTCTATCTAGGTCAAGGGTGTCAGAGCCCCTTTATAATGCCAATATAAGTTTTAAATAGTTAAAGACAGAGTAGTTTCCAGTAGTTTCCAAATATTTAAAATAATTCCCATCACAAACATAACATGTGCTTTTATGTTTGCTCTTAGAGAAAATTTATTCTAGATACCTTGTTAGAAGTTTTTTATTTGTGTTGTTTCTTCTATAAAGTTAATGAGCATCATTATGAATAAAATTATATACATGTGACATACCTTTTAGAAAGATTTTAAGTTGGAAATGTGCATGAACATGGATGCATTTAAAATAAACTGCTGGCATTGGTTAAAGGTGAGCCCTGAAATATTGTTTTAATCATAAGATTTTTACAGCACGGCTGTGCAAAAACTGTATTCATCTGGAATATTTACAGTCCATCAGCCTTTATCAAAATCTTCAGATTCGGTATTCTCTAAAGACTAATGAGCCTCATTTACCATTCAATCAAATCCTAGCCTCTGGACTTCCTCCTCCTCCTCAAAGTAGATTCAGGAATCTCTGAAAGGATCAATAGTTTAAGATTTAATTTCACGATATTTCTTTCAGGTGTGATCCTGGATTTTCTGGCCCAGCTTGTGAGATGGCATCCCAGACATTCCCAATGTTTATTTCTGAAAGCTTTGGCAGTTCCAGGCTCTCCTCTTACCATAACTTTTACTCTATCCGTGGTGCTGAAGTCAGCTTTGGTTGTGGTGTCTTGGCCAGCGGTAAGGCCCTGGTTTTCAACAAAGAGGGGAGGCGTCAGCTAATTACATCCTTCCTTGACAGCTCACAATCCAGGTGAGTGAAGGCAGGATAGAATACACACAGAAACCAGGTACTAATGTTGAATTTAGATATATTTTCAATTTTTCTTTTTTCTTTTTCTTTTATGTATATGTGTGTGTGTGTGTGTACACACACACACACACATACACACACACACATATCTTCCAATTTTTAACTGGTATGGGAGGGAGCTTATGGTATATTTAGGGTTAATTTGCCCTAGTTTTTAATAAATCAGAAGGCTCACCAATGACTTTGAGATATGGTAACTGACTAGATTTTTAAAAATATGAAGTGTTAGCATCCAAACTGTGTTCTTAAGCCAAGGACTAGTTAATTATTTATGTAGTTTTATTTATTTGACAGCTTGCAGAGGCTGATTAGATTTACTCTACAACTTCCCTTCCCCCAGTGCCTCATAAATAATGCATTAAAGGAGTGATTGGCATTGTAAGTGTATGTACACAAGTACATAGTATACAAATATGCATAAGTGTACAGTTATATTTTTATGGCTATATCTGTTTATAAAATACACACATTGACCTCATCTTCTACACTTAATTCATACATCTCACAGTGAAATTACTTACATTTTATGAAAGAGGGATGAGTAGAAACATACAGTTTGGGGGTAGTTCATTTAAATTTGTCTGAAACTCTTTAAAGACCAAAATGAACATTATGGTTAAAAATGTTTATGCACACACTAATTACAGACAATTTATGTCTAGGTTTCTCCAGTTCACACTGAGACTGGGGAGCAAATCTGTTCTGAGCACATGCAGAGCCCCTGACCAGCCTGGTGAAGGAGTTTTGTTGCATTATTCTTATGATAATGGGATAACTTGGAAACTTCTGGAGCACTATTCATATCTCAACTATCATGAGCCCAGGTATGTTGGAAAGCATTTGGAAAAATGGTTAGACTGACATCTCCTTCCTGGGGAAATCATAATTCGAATGGTATAAAATTCCAGATATTTTTCCTTTGAGAGAGAGGACAAAGATTGATGTATCTTGCAATGAAAAACTAGCAAGACATGTTCTTCTAGTCCATTTGTCTCACTGATAATTTGAAGAAATGTATTCTCATATTTTGAAATGTGCATATAAGCAAAATATTTTGATGCTTAGGAAAGAGAAAAATAGTTTACACTGTTTTCCTTATTCAGCTAGAAGATAAACTATTACATAGAATTTTATTAATAATGTGACATGAAATTGTAAATGCTGTTAAATATTTCTTAGCAATATATTTAATGTTATAAATTTTATGATATAATAACTCATCAAATCTGATAACCAATATATTTTAAAATTTTTCGTGTGATATAATTAAGTAATGAGTACAAAGAAATTTTTCTAGCATATTATCCCTGGCAAAAGTGGAATATGAGGGTGTATTTAAAGCCCTTTCTTCAGGCCACTTCCATTTGTCTTTACCGTATAGATTTCATCATCTGTAATAACAATTGTTAGACTTCAGTTTTACTTGAAGCTGGGCTATTCTTCAAAATTGGCAGAGTAAAAACTACCAAAAGTGGTATAACTTCGGAAGTCCAAAAGATCCTGTCCCTTCCTAGAACAATTATTTTTTTATTTCAAAAATATTAAGGGGGTACAAATGTTTTTCTTACATGGATACCTTTTGTAATGCTTAAGTGTCCCCTCTAGAACGCTTACTGAGCTGCTCACTGAAATTCCTTTAAAAATATCAAGGAGGAGGAGGATGGGAAATCTCAAAATTAAGGTTTAAAGTTAAAATTCCATTAAAGGAGGTGATGCTGTGGCTTACATTCACGGTTGTGTATAAAGAACTAAGACCATTTCCTTTCCTGAAAGTATATTTTAATCACGTGGCAATGAGAGAGAGGGTTTTGGGCAATGACGTTCTCATTGGCACCCCCGGGAAAAAACAGGGCTCAGGAAGTAGGAGAGAGGGGCATTGATGATACACTTTACATACTTCACAGTTTTGCCCACGGCTGTCCCTATATTTAAGTATTTGCAAATAGATAAGAACTTTTATTTTCATAGAGAATGAAGTAGCATGTAAAAGAAATCATAATTAACAACTATTATGACTTATAAATATTATACGTAATAAAACTTTAAAAATGCACCAGATGTTTTGGATATTTTCCTGGTACAGGTAAAAATGTAAGGCCAAGCTCAACTTTCTCACTCAACAGAGACACATAAATCCTAAAGAAATGTTTCACAGACTCTCCATAGTAAACATTAAAAGAAAATTAACTGAAAATCAAGTGGTAATGATAAAAGCATAAAGAAAATATCACTATCCTAAGTTAACTTGGCCTAGGGCACAATTTTTCCTAACAAGGATGAACAGCTGTAAAATTCAGTAATCAATCTATATCATGAAATTTAATTAATCTTTGTTGATATGAAAAATAATTACACATTTAATGTGCTATTGCAAAGGTGCATTTAATCTTGCCTGCCATTTGACAGCAACATTTTTCTTCTAAGAATCAAGATGGCTTTTCAGTATTAAGTATGTGCATAGCTTGAAAGATTAAGATCAGAATGGAGATTTTTTTAAAAAGCAGAATGTTGTAGTGGTAGCAAAAATACTTTCATTTTCTATATATGTACCTCTGTGCATGAGATGCTTCCTTATTCCCCTCTCTCTTACAAATATTAATAAAAAGTGACATGGCAGAAGTAGAATTTGATATATTCTAGATACCAAATTATATTTTATATGATAAATAATATAAACTGTGCAAATTCTTCATAGGAGAGTTAAATATATCTTGATGCCTTTAGCCATTTGCTGTATTTCTTTCAGTATAAATTGCTGCCTGTAATTGCTGTGACTTCCATATTGTTCCTTTATGCCATGGTTGTTCAGAAATGAAGTGTGATCCATAAATTAGATATGCTAGTTGGCTAACCACTATTACTCCTAGACAATTTCAAATAATTTGCTTGTCTATGAGTCATTCAGTAAATAAAATAACTCTTATCTGCTTATTATTTATAAAATTTAAAGTCTGGTGATATATCTAACTAGTGTTTTAATTCAAACTGACTAGAATGTCTTGTGAACTAATTGGTACTTTTATTAATGTAAAATTTTATACACTTGTGAGACTAAAATTATCCTAGCTTTTCTCTTAATTATAGGGCTTATTTTTTGCTCCAATTATTATGAAATCTAATGTTGGTTTATTTTTATGTCTTTATTATTGTGTTTGATCTCCTCTTTCTTTCTTATCATGTCACCCAATTCAATAGTACATATCATTATAAAACATTTTTAAAAATAAATCCATGAGCTTAGTACCTACCCACAAAGGGAAGATTGAAACAGAAAGTTGACCTAAGTCTCTGAGTTCTCTTCTAGGAATAATTTTATCAGACAGCAGATATTTTTGCATAGCTATTCTAACTAGCCACTACAGTATGCAAAGAGTGGTGAAATCAGCAGGTACTCCCACCATACCCAAAGCTATGATGTGGAGGTTAAGAGCAAGGCTCTAGAGTCAAGCTCCCCAGGTCCATATCCTGGCATTGTCATGTAGAATCTGCTTAACCCTAAAGAGAATATTTAACCTCCTTGTTCCTCTGTATTCACATCTCTGTCGTAGGTATACTGATAATATGTGCTTTGTGCAGAAAGAATTTGTTAAGTTCTTATTATATGCCAGGTCCTGTTTAGACACTAAGATACAATAGTGGAAAACAGATAAAAAAACAAGTCTCTGACCCTTGCCATAAGAATATCATTATTCTAGTTTCACAGATAAAGATGCCGAGGCACGTAGAAGTTAAGTACTTTTTCTGTGGTTGCAAACTCATTAACCGTTAGATGTCAGAGCGGGAACTCTAACTCGAGTCCAATTACAGACCCACAGTCTTAACATCTCTGCCAGGAAAATATTGCTCACTTCAGTTATTGTTATCATATGCATATACACTATTTTCCTTAAAAGTTGCCTTGGAAATTCTACTTTTCAGTTGCTGCTTTTTAAAAATTATATTTATTTTCATCAGCAACAATATTAACTGCTTTTAAAATTATTAACATAAAGAAAAACTATGATTTTCTAATAACATAGTGCTAATCAAATTATTAAATCAGTGCCTGA